CCGCCGCGCCGACACTGCCACCAAACCCGCCGGTGGCCGGGATCATCTTCCTGTCCGGGTCCGCGGGCTCCTGCGCGGGCGCCGGGAGCAACTTGGCGTTTCTTCTCGAGCAGGCGGCAGCATCCTCTGGCCCCACCATCTGAGGGCCGGGTGGCCGCCGCCCGAGGAGACCGAGGGCTCGGCCGCGCAGCCTCTGCCAGGGAGCAGCCGGGGTACGGGGACCGCGGCCGCCACCGCAGCCGCAACGCTCCAGACCCGCCCCTCCCGCCCGGCCCGCCGGCCTGCCGGCCCGACCGCCCGACAGTTGCGATAGGGCGGGCACGCGCCTGGGTTCGCGCACGCGCAAAAGGCGGACCGGTCAAGCTACGACCTGGAGATTCCCTGAACCATAGAGATGGCAGCTAGAGAGGCCTGGGCCGCCAATCTGGAATCCGCCGTCTGCGTGGCGGAGGCTGCTTAGCACACTCTGCGTCTGGCAGATAGTAGAGGGAGGTATTACTCACTTAGCAAAAATTAACTTGGCCTAATCATTGGTGAGAGCAAAATACAGGATCTTAGAATAGGTAAGTCATTCCAGTGCACAAAGTCCATCAGCAATGGACTAAGCCTATAGCCTTAGTTCAGGATTTCATCGCCGCATGGCCAACACCTCAACACTTCATCTTCCACAAGCTATCTAGCACAGTGTTTCCATTATTTTCTTAGAAGGGAGATGAAGCAGGGATCAGGAAGGGAAGGATTTATACCAGCCCCTTGTGATGATGTAGTAAAATGGAGTGGCGACAGTTGGCTGGAAATGAAGGACATTTCAAGTAGAACAAGAAGTGCTAACTACTAGGAGGAGACACAGGATGGAAGCTAATGATAACTACAAAGCTAAGGAGACTGAACCTGATATGGTTTGAAAAAAATTGGATTAAAAAAAAAATCTCGGGCTGGGAAGATGGCTCAGTGGTAGAGCGCTTGCCTTGCATGCCAGAGGCCCTGGGTTCGATTCCTCAGCACCACATAAGCAAAAAGAAAAAAGCCAGAAGTGGTGCTGTGGCTCAAGTGGTAGAGCGCTAGCCTTGAGCTGAAGAGCTGAGGGACAGCGCCCAGGCCAAGAGTTCAGGCCCCACAACTGGACGCAAAAAAAAAAAAAAAAAATCTCGCTTCATGCTTAGAAAATATCCAGTAAAGTTAAATATTGGAATCCAAGCATATAGTGAAAACTCAAATACTTGGGTTAGAATTTAGGCTAGGTGGAGGAGTCACCCGCATAATACACCTAGATGAGTCATGAGTGGCATTCCTGGGAAGTAAAAAGAAGGTTAGGGGTGGGGCAGAGAACCAAGAGGTTATTTCAGAAGAGTCAAAGATGTGTTGCAAGAGATTAAAGAGACATCAGAATTGGATAGGATGAAACAGCAAATGTAGAACACTCATTCTAGAATAACTTATCAGTGAAATGGGCAGAAATAAAAGAATAATAAGAGCCAGGCTGGTGGCTCATGAATGTAATCCTAGTTCCTGAGGAAGCTAAGACCTGAGGCTTGAAGTTTGAAGCCATCCCAGGCAAGAAAGTATTGACCACCAAAAGTGCTGGATGTGAAGATGTGGCTCAAGTGTTAGAGTACTAGTCTTGAGCACAAAAACTGAAGGACAGTACCTAAGCCCGAGTTCAAACCCCAGGATTGGCACAAAAAAAAATTTTTTAATGAAGTAGTAACTAGAGAAGGCAGAAATGTCTTTAAACATTTTTATACAAAAAAAAAGCATATACACATGAGTGGCTATAAGTACATTTCTGGTAAAGTAAAAATATGTCAAGATAGGAATCGTGTGCCTATCACCCAGATTTAGAAATACCCTCTATCTTTTATAATGAGCTTTTTGTAAGGACTGAAGTGGCAAAGCTATTGTCATTTAGATCTTTCAGAATAAAGAAATAATACCCAGAACATAGGTATAAGAGTTAATATTAAAAGAAAGGCTGAGACTGGAAGATAGAGTTCTAAGCTAGCATGGGCCACATAGAACCTGTCTCAAAAAGAAAAGGAAAAATATAAAAATAAATCTAGGAGAGGATGTGGAAAAAGTAGAACACTAACTCATTGCTGATAAAAATGTAAAACAGTGCAACCTCTATGGAAAAAGTTTGCTTAATTACCCAAAAGGTTAAATAGCATTTCCTAGATATATCTCTACAAGAATTAAAAACAAGTACACTAACAAAACTGCTAAAGGGATGGCATTGGTCAAGACACACTGTAGTCACAAACTCCTTTGTTCAATGGCAGCTTCTTTGTACAACTACTTAAAGATAATACAAAAAAATACATTTTTTACATAGACATTCACAGTGGTAGTATTCTTAATAGCCAGAAGGTAGAATACCAAAATTTCTATTAACAGATAAAAGTAGTAGAGCCATATAATGGCATATTACTCAGTCGTGAAGAGATGGACCAGCCATGCCTACTGCAGCATTGTGAATGTATTGTCTCTGTTTGTACAATGAACATGGTTAATTTTGTTATATATATTTCACCTAAACTTAAAAAAATAACTTAATATAGCAGATGTCTGGGCATAAGGATAGTTACAAATATCAGTAACACACACACACACACACACACACACACACACACACACACAAACACAATCTAGAAGAGAGTAGCAGGAGTTCAGTCTCATTTGTCTTTCAGTCTTCCTCCTCTCAATCTAGAGAATGTCATGTGTTTTCTTCTTGTTAAAATTTTCCAGACAACTTCTTTCTAGCTACCATTGTAGTTCTTTTTGTATGAAATGGTACTATATTTTTTTAAACTCAAATTGCTCTAAGTAGTATATTTTGCTCAGCTTCCTCTTCTCAAAGTTTTTTTTGTTTTGTTTTGTTGTCGGTCGTGGGGCTTGAACTCTGGGCTTGGGCGTTGTCCCTCAGCTCTTCAGCTCAAGGCGAGTGCTCTACCACTTGAGCTACAGCGCCACTTCCGGTTTTCTGGTGGTTTATTGGAGATAGGAGTCTCACGGTCTCTCCTGCCCAGGCTGGCTTTGAATCGTGATCCTCAGATCTCAGCCTCCTAAGTAGCTAGGATTACAGGTGTGAGCCACCAGCGCCCGGCTTCTCCTCAAAGTTTTTATAACCATAGTAGCCTACATAACCCTACTATTTTTTAATGCAGTCTTCAAAAGTGAAATACATTTATATTTTGCAACTTTGTCCACAATGAAGGTGTAATGTGACATACTTTCTATAGTGTTAAATCATCACTCCAGAACAATATGGCAATGCTTCTAAAAATTGGCTGCACATTAGGAAGTTTTTAAAAATACTGTTGCCTGGGCCAGATCAATGAAGTCATTATCTTTGGAGAAGATGCCTTGCTTTTTTGCAGTCATAATTAATCTGCCAGATTTTTAAAAGAAAGATTCTTTTTTTTTCTTTAGTTGCCATTGTTGTAGTGTCTCTCTTTTTCCTTCCCCATTTTTAGCTGCTTTTTCTAAGTACTCTTGGAGAGGATTCTTCTTCCTTTAATCCAAACTAAGTTTCCTGTTCTCTTAAAGCCAGTGACAAAATCTTTAGACTACAAGACTTTTCCTAGTCTGTCTACCTAACCAGCCTACTTTCCTAGTTCTCTCCCGAACTCTGAACTTAATCATAATAATCTTGTGTCTACTTCTATTCTCCTTATTTTTCTTCTATGCGCTCTATGATGAGCTATATCATTGTTATGCTGACTTTGAACTCCTGCTTCTTCATCTCAGTTTCTTTTTCCTCACTCATCATGTTTCAGACTGTCCTTTCCTCTGTTTCTAAAATTTGTGCCATGGTCCTTCTTCCTAAGTAGCTTCATATGTGTGGATCATTCTGCCTGGAATATTGTCTCACCTTGATAACTTGGCTAATGACTCCTACTCTTTCTAGACTCTAATTTAGTCTCAGAGAAGTTTGAGGTTGCTTAGTCTCAAGCTGTTTCATAGACGTGCCCTCTTCCCTCTCCCCTCTCTTCCTTCTTTCCTTTCCTCGTTCCTTCTTTCTTTCCTTCTTCCTTCCTTCCTTTTTTCTCTCTTTTTTCTTTTCTTTTCTTCTCTTCTTTTTCTTTTCAGTGCCAGGCCTGGGACTTGAACACTTTGCTATAAACATATCTGTAAAATTTTCATCTTATTATTTGTTCTTATGAATGAACAAATCCTTAACCTAACAATCATTTGTTTTGAATCAGCATGCACTAGTAAAACCTAAAATAATCCCAAGTCAATTGATCTGACGCTATGAGTCTTTAATGATGAATAGATTAAACAAAAGGGATGGTATGTTCCTTTGGAAATTGACTAATGAGATACAAAGTAAATTTGATATCAAAATTCAAAAGAAATGTGTGCAAGCAGGAGGAAATGTAATCTTTTAAGTCTATGCAATCTGGTTTGCTACCAAAATCTTCAACCTCTGTAAATAGTTCAAATTCCATGCATGCCTGTTAAAGCCCAAGCTGGTTAAAAAAAGTGATTTAGGCCTAGGTTTTGGATTATATTGAGATAACAAGTATTGAAGGGATGAATATTGCAGATTAACTCAGCAAGATGAGGTATGTGTGGAAAAGGAATGATAGGAAGATAACAAACAGCTGCTGTTTGGTAAGTCACAGCCGCCTGACAAGCCAAAACCAAGAGACAGATGAAATGCTTTAAAAATGCACCATGATCTTTTGTGGACACATATTGATGCTACATACTAATACACACTGTAATCCCACTCCTGGGAATTTGTCATAGGAAATTATTCAAAAAAGAAGATGAAAGTTACACAAAGATGCTTATAGCAAAAAGTGTTCAAGTTAATGAGAATTTACCTAAATAATAATATGGGAAATGAAGGCAAAAAGATTACAAAAACAAATAGAGAAAAAAGCAAAACATATGGGGAACTTGTACAAAAAATAATAGAAAGTAGTGATGCACAATTGCATTCCACAATGACAGTGACGTCTTCAGGGGCACATCTAGCTTCATAAAGATAAAAGAAGATGGACGTGAGAAGAGGATGATGGTCCTTGTAAATTTTTATACTTCTTCTTTTATAATATCTCCACAATTGCTTACGTGTTAACTTTGAAAAGATGCTCTGAAGTGCATTTCCAATGCACATCCTAAGTACAGATTGTGAAAGAAACAGTTGCA